CTACATGGTAGCTCTGCCAGACAGCACTGAGCTGGCCGTGTCTGTTCTCATTCTGAAATTCTCACACAGTCTTTATAATGCAGCAAGTTTGTGTGTGGAATAAAGTAATTGAAATCCTGAAAAAAATTCCATTGTGAAGCAGGAGAAGTGAAAATTGCTTTTATATGGAAGGAAATTTCTCCAGGGGCAAACTCTCCTGCTTATTTATATTTGTACTGCAGGCTGGGAACATGTTGGCGGCTTGTAGGGCTGAAAGTTTGCCCCAAATAGCATGTAGCAGTTGATTGAGAAGGTGGCTTGGCTAAGGAAGCAGCTGTGACACTGAACGGAACAGCACAGGAAGGTTTTTGTATTGGCCTGTATCACTGAGAGGTGAGCTCCAGCTTTGTTGACAATAATAATCTCCAGCATCTTCCGCTTCAACCTTACTGATTGTGAGAGTGAAATCGGTTCCAGACCCACTGCCACTGAACCGGTCTGGGATCTCAGCGGCGCGGGTGGAAGCCTCATAGATCAGGAGCTTTGGAGCTTGTCTGTGTTTCTGTTGGTACCAGGCTAAGTAAATAGTACCTGAAGAGCCTGTAATGCTTTCACTCGCTTTGCAGTTGATGGTGACTCTGTCTCCTAGAGACACTGCCAGGGATTCCGGACTCTGAGTCATCACAATGTCTGCACTGGAATCTGAATTTACAAAGAGAATATAAGTTAATACAAATACAGATCTAGTCAATCAAACTCAACAATATTGTACCTGTAAAATAGTCCCATGTGCATCTTTACACAATTGCTAAACCTAGTTACCTGGCCGTGATGCTAACATTAAGCTCAGAATGGCTCTTTCAGCCTAACCCTTATTCCCATTTCTTGTTATTTCCTCAATCTTCTCCCTTTTCTTAATTTCAGTTAAAATGAGATAAAGATTTTGATAAATTAGTGTAATTCTCTGATGGTTGTTTGTTGAACATTTATATCTCAGTAATTCCTACTGGCTTCAACCAGATTGGACCCAGTGGTTCCGGCTGCTGTCCAGACAAATAATAGGTGACAGTCCCTGCCACAGCGAGCTTACTCTCTGAATAGACTTTGATTATAGATATAATTTATGGGTCAAAATACACCATTTCTAGATCGTTTAAAAATTTCAGTAGATCATTGTACTTCATCAAATTCCTTTTGATCCTTACCCTGGACCCAGAGCACTAACAGCCAGATAAGCTGAGCTCGAGAGATCATCTTGATACGTCTGACTGGTCTGATGCTGATCAACAAGCCGTAACGAGTGCCTCGGAGCATTTATAACAGCTCAGAGCAGCAGGGGGAGGTCACTTGGTGTGAAATATGCAAATTGGGTTCAGAGATGAAAATTCATGCCTAGTTCATAGACGTGCACAAAAAGGGAAGGGGTCGGGGTGAAATTGGCAAGTCCAACCCCACAGTCCTGGGGGCAAGAGCCTCTCTGTTAAAATGTCGTTTGTCAGGACAGAATGGCAATAAGTTATCCTAGCAATAATTATATGCTGGGAAGGGGGTTAGTCTCACTGTTATGTTGCAGATCTCCTCACAGTAATGATACAAATGGTGATAGGGAAACTGTACTGCATGTGGGAGGGCTGCAGTCGATGGTGAACACAAATTTATTTGTATTACGTAGTGCTAAGAGGTGCCAGTCTGGGCTCAGGACCCCGCTGTGTTAGATGCTGTACACACACATTATGAAAAGTCAGTCACTGCTCCAAAAATGCTACAATCTAAGTCTAAGATAAGAGACAACAGGTGAAGGGGGGAAAAACCGCCAGAGCAGAACAGCTCAAGGTAACAGTGAGATGGTTTTGAGAAGTTCACATCAGCCATTTCAGCAACCAGTCCTTGTCATTGTGTATGTCCACCAGAGTGGGTCACTGGAAAGCACCAGGAGCTGTTCCTTCCCTCCCAGGGACCCACTGTTTCTGCTGCCTTCTAGTCCCGCCCAGCTAGAGATATGATTCAAAATCTAATCCCCACATGGCAGCGTTGTTAATAACAGGCTGGGATGACATTTTCTCTTCAAATCCTGAACACTTGGTCTCTGTCAAGCAGCCAGTAAGAATTACTTTGGAAGCAAGGAGTAACATCATGTAAGCCAGAAAATAAATGCCGCCCTCGATCACATCATGTAAAATCCCTGCTTCATACAAGGAAATTTCTCCAGCAGCAAACTCATCTGGGCTGTCTGCTTATTTTAAATTGTACTGTAGGCTGAGGAAGGGTGGTAGCACAGAGGGACTGTGACCCAAGGAGCGAGATTCTGAAAGGCTGTTCAAATGAAGTATAGCAGCTGGCCAGAGACGGTGACTGTTTAGTAAGTGAAATGAACAGCACAGGGATGAATTTGTACAGGTCTGAATCAGAGTAAGAGGGGTTGCTCTTGCCTTGTTGACAATACTATTCTTCTGTATCTTCAGCTTCAACACTGCTGATGGTGGGAGT